GGAGGCGAGGCGGTGGAGGGTGGATGACGGAGGCGAAAGACAGTCTGAGATTGAGTTGGCAGCAGGTTAGGTATAGGCAAGGACGAAAGTAGGCGGGCGGTGATGTCGACCACAAGTGGCGGGAGACAGCTGTTCGACCTGGGGATTATCTAGTTGGACGACCACACCGAAAATGGCAAGGGGAGGGGGGCAAAGGTGTGTGTGTTTCCTTGGCAATTTAACACCGGAAGCGTAAAATAATAAACACTTTAAAGAGAAGGGAGCAAAGTTGAGTTTTTTTAAAGCAAAGTTTTTTTTAGGGTAGAGAAAAGCAGTTGGATCACGGATTTTAAGCTTTGGTCATGGGCCGGGAAACGTGATGGGCTATAGCAAGTAGACCTAGTTTTTTTCAGGGGTTAGTTTTATTTTTATTTTTGAAGTGAGCTAGCAGGTGTTGTTAGAAGTAGGTTTCACACAGGACAAAAGTAGCCATGATGGGCCAGGCACAAGGCCCATCCGTCCCAGCCGCCCCCACAGCCTGCTGCTCGCCGGTTCTCCTCCCACCACCGTGATCGACGACGGCGGCCGCCGCGCCCCACGTCCTCCAACCGGCAGCAAGCACGTGTAAGTCACCCCAACGCAGCACCACAAGCGATCGCAACCGGCCGTCGCCCTCTACATCGGTGACTGAATAGGCAGCAAGTAGCAGCGGCCGCGCTTCGATTCCTCTCAAATAAATCCAAAACCAATAGGTGCTCCTGCGTGTGTCGTACCCTTCTTGGAGACGCCGCCTGGGGCGCTTGGGTGCTCGGTTTGAGGAACTGCAGATGGAGGGGACAGGACCAGTGGCAACAAGTGGTGTTTCGCGTCGGAGGAGCGGCGTGGCATCTGACACGTCAACAACGATGGGTCTAAGCGGCATGGAGCAGCGGGGTCTCGTCGGTGATCGTGGGATGATGGACGAGCGCAGGATGGTGGCGTTGTCTGGCTTCGTGGTGGCGTCGATGGCAGCTAGACCGGGCAAGGTAGATGCAGCAGTACATCACTGAAGATGGGTTGGTGGTAGGTGGCTGCGGCGGCCTCATACCTGGCAGGCGTCCTGGTTGAGGAGTGCGCCAGACTGGTGGGACCTCAGGTCATAGATGTTAGGTTTGGCTGCGAGGTCTATTTGGTAAACACTAAATCTCCTTAGATTGGGGGCGGCGGCACTGCATGTGTTGTACCCTTCTTGGAGGCCCCGCCTGGGGCGTTTGGGTGCTCGATTTGAGGAACTGCAGGCGGAGGGGACATGACCAATGGCAACAGGTGATGTTTCGCTTCGGAGGAGCGGCGTGGCATCTGACACGTCGACAACGATGGGTCTCAGCGGCATGGAGGAGCGGGTCTCGCCGGTGGGCGTGTGATGATGGACGAGCGCAGGATGGTGGCGTTGTGCGGCATCGCGGTGGCGTCGACGGCAGCTAGACCGGGCAAGGTAGATGCAGTAGTACAACACTGAAGATGAATTGGTGGTAGGTGACTGCGGCAGCCTCATACCCGACAGGCGTCCTGGTTGAGGAGTGCGCCGGACTGGTGCGTGCCTCATACCCGGCAGGTGTCATGGTTGGGACATTAGGTCTTAGATGTTAGGTTTGGCTGCGAGGTCTGTTTGGTAAACCCTAAATCTCCTCAGATTGGGCGGCGGCGGCACTGCGTATGTTGTACCCTTCTTGGAGGCGCCGCCTGGGGTGTTTGGGTGCTCGGTTTGAGGAACTGCGGGTGGAGGGGACGGGACCAGTGGCAACAGGTGGTGTTTTGCGTCAGAGGAGCGGCCTGACACCTCGACAACGATGGGTCTCAGCGGCATGGAGCAGTGGGGTCTCGCCGGTGGGCTTGTGATGATGGACGAGCACAGGATGGTGGCGTTGTCTGGCGTCGTGCTGGCGTCGTCGACAGCTAGACCGGGCAAGGTAGATGCAGCAGTACAACACTTAAGATGGATTGGTGGCAGGTGGCTACGGCGGCCTCATACCCGACAGGCGTCCTGGTTGACGAGTGCGCCGGACTGGTGGGTGCCCCATACCCGGCAGGCGCCCTGGTTGGGACCACAGGTCTTAGATGTTAGGTTTGGCTGCAAGGTCTGTTTGGTAAACCCTAAATCTCCTTCGATTGGGTGGTAGCGGCACTGCATGTGTCGTACCCTTCTTGGAGGCGCCGCCTGAGGCGTTTGGGTGCTCGATTTGAGGAACTGTAGGCGGAGGGGATGGGACCAGTGGCAACAGGTGGTGTTCGCGTCGGAGGAGCGGCGTGGCATCTGACACGTCGACAACGACGGGTCTCAGCGGCATGGAGCAGCGGGGTCTCGCTGGTAGGCGTGTGATGATGGACGAGCGCAGGATGGTGGCGTTGTCTGGCGTCGATGGCAGCTAGACTGGGTAAGGTAGATGCAACAGTACAACACTGAAGATGGATTGATGGCTGCAGCAGGCGTCCTAGTTGAGAGTGCGCCGGACTGGTGGGTGCCCCATACCCGGCAGGCGCCCTGGTTGGGACCACAGGTCTTAGATGTTAGGTTTGGCTGCAAGGTCTGTTTGGTAAACCCTAAATCTCCTTCGATTGGGTGGTAGCGGCACTGCATGTGTCGTACCCTTCTTGGAGGCGCCGCCTGGGGCGTTTGGGTGCTCGGTTTGAGGAACTGTAGGCGGAGGGGATGGGACCAGTGGCAACAGGTGGTGTTCGCGTCGGAGGAGCGGCGTGGCATCTGACACGTCGACAACGACGGGTCTCAGCGGCATGGAGCAGCGGGGTCTCGCTGGTAGGCGTGTGATGATGGACGAGCGCAGGATGGTGGCGTTGTCTGGCGTCGATGGCAGCTAGACTGGGTAAGGTAGATGCAACAGTACAACACTGAAGATGGATTGATGGCTGCAGCAGGCGTCCTAGTTGAGAGTGCGCCGGACTGGTGGGTGCCCCATACCCGGCAGGCGCCCTGGTTGGGACCACAGGTCTTAGATGTTAGGTTTGGCTGCAAGGTCTGTTTGGTAAACCCTAAATCTCCTTCGATTGGGTGGTAGCGGCACTGCATGTGTCGTACCCTTCTTGGAGGCGCCGCCTGGGGCGTTTGGGTGCTCGGTTTGAGGAACTGTAGGCGGAGGGGATGGGACCAGTGGCAACAGGTGGTGTTCGCGTCGGAGGAGCGGCGTGGCATCTGACACGTCGACAACGACGGGTCTCAGCGGCATGGAGCAGCGGGGTCTCGCTGGTAGGCGTGTGATGATGGACGAGCGCAGGATGGTGGCGTTGTCTGGCGTCGATGGCAGCTAGACTGGGTAAGGTAGATGCAACAGTACAACACTGAAGATGGATTGATGGCTGCAGCAGGCGTCCTAGTTGAGAGTGCGCCGGACTGGTGGGTGCCCCATACCCGGGAGGCGTCCTGGTTGGGACATGAGGTCTTAGATGTTAGGTTTGGCTGCGAGGTTTGTTTAGTATAAGGCCCAGACTATCAGCATCCCTACATCAACTGGATAGAAGTAGCGACAGATGTTGCCTAGACAATGGCTTTAGTCTTACTGTTGTATGATTTTTGTAAGGTCTTGCGTGAATAATTAATAAAGTGGCCGCATGCATTGTCTAGATGCAGAGGCCGGGGGTTTCCTCCTTTTCTAAAAGAAAGATGCTCCTGCGCCACATCACTGCTTATATATTTTCGGTTCCTCTCACAGTTCGATAAAATGCCATCAATAATTGCAAGACCGCGAATGAAATCTGAAGAAATCCAGTGAGTTTTAGACTATCAGGCACACCATATAGGAATCACAGCAGATACGCTCTGAAGAAATCGTTGATAGACTAATATTGCTCGAACAGTCCAATCGACTGTCCAACATCCATTTTCAACCTCTTTATCAAAACTCAACATATGGAGAAAGGAAGTATGTAGACTAATTAATATCACCACCGAAAAGTGGGCACTATCACAATGATATGTCTAGGTTGTAGTCATATTGCTGTTGGGTTGTTTTGCAAGGATCTATCCGAGTTTTGCCCGGGAAGAAATGGCGTTACTATAAGGGGCTCAAATGGCTTCCATCAACATTTTGCACACAAACCACAACATATAGTAGGATGGGAAGCAGGCGACGCGAGGAGAGGGTGGCAATGGGCACGGAGAGAATGGGTGACGGCACCATGGTGTTGGCGTTGGCAGGCAGTACAACCTTGCCCCGCTAAAAAGTGGTCCGATGGGGAGTTGGATAGAGAATGGCTACATTTCTCTAGTTTTGAAAAGTTGGGATGTTTTGGGACTTTTCCTCATTTTTATAGGGAATTCAGAACTTACAGAAAGTGTTAATTGGGTGTAACTCCCCAAAATTTCAGTTTTTAGGTAGTTATTAGTGACTTTAGGGCAATCAATACATCGGTCGAAATTCTAATGTCAAAAATCTTATATGTTATAGAACTGGAAAATGCGCCTTGATATAAGCTACTTCTACATGCGGTAGACTCAATGTCCCAGCGCTGTGCACAGGAAATTACTGCTACACACTAATTTCTTCTATAAATCATACACGATAAAGATGTTGCGCACGTATTTCCATGGGCCACTTCTGTAACATTTGAACTAGAACGTATGCGCTCATGAGGCCAAGAGGGTACTAAACAAGTACTAATGCATAACTAAATAAGTAGTAATGCAATGCAATATCTAGGAAACAGAGAGATGGGCGTGTGCATGGTATATCAGTTGATGGAGTCAGTATGCATATGACGCCAAGCAAAACCAAGCAGTGATAAACTTATATAATGAAACAAACTCACTCAGTTTAGTTCCAGATGGCAAGGAATGCCTGTGTTTCAGGAATTATTACAGACACAACCAACAATGCATGACAATATACAGTCGGAAATAAATTAAGAGCTGTTGATACTATTACAGTACCGTAGGACTCATCACAAATAATTAAAAGCATGCACACTTAGAGTGCATAAGAAATTCTTATGATTCTTGATTACTGAAGGAGGTAGGTTGCCGTTCTTTGCTAGACACGGAGCTCAGGAACAGCCTTCATCTTGTTGTGCATCTGGTTTAGATTCCACTGAGCCTTGAAGTCCTTGTGCAGATCCAACATCCAGAGCTTCTTGAGGGTTCCAAGGGATTCAATGCCATGAGGGACCATGTTCAGCTTGGAGAGTGACACAATGTAGATCCCATCAATGTCCGGAATGGCGCCCTTTTCAATCTCCAGTTGCTTGACATTAGGCATGCGCTTCAAGACGAGTGTCTTCAGCTTAGGAAAGCACCCTGCAGAAAGAACCAATATACCTGCACTACTCACCCTGTTAAGACTGAGATAAGTGAGATCTGGAAGATGAGATGCCAACAACCGCAGCGGGTCTTCCATCCCAAGATCGCACCAACTTAGAGCCAAGTACTTGAGACTCTTCCCATGGCCCTGAAATATTGGGCAGTTGAGTGTACCATCAGCCCAGCCGCCTCTGATTATTAGCCTGTGGAGATATGTGGAAACTGGCTTGAGTGCTTGGAAACTAAGTGTCTCATTCTCATCACACGCAGAGAGAAGTAAGCTGGAAAGTAGGGGCATATCTGAGAGGGTTTTCAATAGGTCATCACAGTTAGATGCACTGATGTTATCAACCCAAACTGTCTGCAGCTTCATCATTTTCTGCAGCTGTAGTGACAAGTCTTTGCTGGCATGGACGGTCTCAAGAGTTTGCAGCTCTTGAAAGTTGGAAATCATGTGAGGCGCTTCGACTCCAACAAAGTATCGGAACTCCGTCTGCTTCTCATCAGCAAACCTGTCAGCTAAAAGGTGCCGTAGCTTCTCAATATTTACAATTCCTGGTGGTAGCTTTTCCACTTTTGTTTGCTTGATGTCCAGTGTCTCAAGGTTTGAGAGCTTATCAATGGTGTGTGGCAGCGACTGGATATTGGTACGCCTTAAGCCGATGTAGCGAAGATTGAACAAATCCCCGATGGATGCCGGCACTTGGGTTATTCCAGAGTCTTGAAGCTCGAGAACAGTAAGGTAGCTGGATCCAGATAAAACTGAGGAAAGCATGTTAGTACAGGGCGAAGCTGTCGCAAGTGACATGATGGTACGGAGTCGTGGAAATTTCACTCCCACTATTGCTTTACTGTCTATCCAACCACATGTCGAGAACCGACGAACTTCTTTATCCATGCGAATCATTTCTTTGGGGCCATTCGCGGAGCCAAACCTCTCCTCTTTAGCCACAGCAAGAGCCAGGTCACGGACAAGGTCATGCATCTTACATGTACTAACCCTTAAGAGCTCATCCCTTTCCACGACTTCCAACATGTTCCTCCCAATGAGCTCCATAAGATTTCCCTCAGCCACTTCCTCCGGTGTGCTGTTTTCTTTCTTCACAGCAAACCCTTCGGCAACCCACAACCGCACAAGGCTCTCCCGTGAAATTGCATAGTCTTCAGGGAACAAGCTGCAGTACAGGAAGCAGTTCCTTAGATCACCTGGCAAGTCATGGTAGCTCAGATCAAGTATAGGTTGGACATGGTTATCCCCCCGCAACTCGCTACGGAGATGATTGAACATGTGATTCCAGGCATGCTCTGTTGGTTGCTTCGTGGACAATAGGCTGCCAGAAGATACAATGGCTAATGGTAGGCCACGACACCTCTCAACAACTTTTGTAGCCACCGTCTTGAGCTCCAGAGGGCACTCGCGGTTCAGGTTGCTGTGGAAAGCCCTTGAGCAAAATAGCTTGAATGACTCAGTGCTACCCAATGGCTGGAGTACAAGGCGACGCTTTGGTTGAGCAAGAGCTGCAACATCTTCCATCCGTGTCGTGATCATAACACGGCTTCCATTGATACCCTGGAAAGCATTGCACATTTGATTATATGCATCTTTACTCCACACATCATCAAGCACAATCAAACACTTCTTGTCTTGTAGTATCTTGTTTATTGCTTCTGTTAAGTCATACACATCAGATTTGGCACCCACGCTAAGAGGAGGTGGTGTCGTTGACTCTTGTCTGTGTTGTATCTTGGTGAGCAATGTCCCCAGCAAATCAATTACATCATATTCCTTTGACACCACAATCCAAGCATGTGCATCAGGGAAGTTGACTTTCTCCCGATCATACACATTCTTGACAAGGGTTGTTTTCCCCAAGCCTCCCATACCAGAAACTGTTATCACTGTGCTTTCTTTATCCTTGCTGGCCAGCCATTCAATCAACTTGCTCCTATTTTCATCAACTCCCACAAGATCCTCGTCACTAAAAAGTTCTGGAAAGCAGCTTCCAGACCGTTGCTTATCAATCTTTGCATGGTCATTTTTGTTGGGTTCGTTTGTGTCTCTCCAATATTTAGGAAGTCCTTTGATTTGCACGATATCCTTTTCTATCTCTTCAACTTCCTCGGCAATTTTACTGAAAACCTTAACATGGCGTGAACCGGTGATGATGTAACGATGTAGGAAGCCTTCGTCCTTGAGCTTAAGAGCCTCATACGAGTACTTATCAATCACATCCTCAACACGGTAGGCCAGCTTCCTTACGTTTCCAATCCAACCCTTGATCACATTGTTGTTGAGATTTGTTGAACCCAAATCTTGGATTATATCATTCATTGTATTCAGTTCTATCTCGATTCTTTGGACCTTTGCTGGCAATTCCTTTAGAGCATCAAGCTTCCTCGATAGCTTCTGTACCACATCCGTGACTACTTCATTCAAAACGATTGTCCCAATCTTCGACACAGCAAGGAGTATGGCCTCCGCCATTCGCTTCTGAAGAAACACAAACACCCAACAAGTTATATATTCGTCATACATGAGTTAGACATCGAGTACAATAAAACTAGCTGATGCATGCGTGGTAATAGTACAATAGATAAATACGATCAAAATATGGCGTAGATACATGGTAGTAGTACATATGTACACACATTAACTTGGCAAGAAAACATAAAGTAGATGCATGGTAATAGTACATATTCAGTTCAAGCAGGCTGAGTACACTTTCTAGCCATTAGCTATTCAATTTTCTCTGAAGCCCACCCGCCCGCTCAGCTCCAGGTTGCCCAATACAGGCCCGGGCCCATGGGCGCGCGGCCCGGGCGACGGTACAGGGCCCCAAATTTTCAGGGGCCCCGAGTTTCCTAGCAGTTTGTTGCAGGCCATAGGATGCATGCCTATTATTCTCGACTAGGCTGAATGCTGCGAATGCCTGCAGCAGGCATACAGGTTCGAGTCTCTTACGACATGGTTCACGCGCTTCCCGATTCCTTCGCTCATATATCCGGTCAGTTTCATTGTTGCCGAGACCGATGTGTCCTCGCCGTCGCTGGAGCCGACCGCGTCATTGGAGCCTGAGATGCTACACAACGAAGATAGGATATGAGGCAGCGCCTCCTTCGTCGTACGCATCTGAACTATTTTCTTGTGTTTGATTTTTTTATTTCATTGTACGCATCTGGACCATTTGATTTTGGACTGGATGTCCGTAATGCGGGAGTTGATTTGGTTCGGCCGATTCCTAACTGAGTCACTCAAGTGGGATACCATGACACTGCTGGCAGCCCTTTTAGCTCACCCTCTAGTTTCATAGTGTTGCGAATTGCTATCCAGAAAGTAGCCCTTAACGGTCGGAAGTCTGCCGCGATGTTGCTAAAATTATGAACTCAAAGCCAATTGTTGCAACTGTATGTGAACAAATTAAATGAAAGAAGTGAAAACATTATGCAAATACGGCTACATCTAATGTTAGTTGTAGTTATGAAATATTCATGTCTGCAATGCAATCTCAGCAGATGATAAAATTAGTTTGGAGCACATATGTGTCAGTATTTCAATCTTTGTAGAATTGGAAGGATGCTTGCTACTTGGACCAAGTTTTTGTTCAGTCACTCATTAGTCATTACAGCATCTTGCTAATCAGGAAATCTAGCAACGTTTAAAATGTGGGCTGCTGCTTCCTTTCCTGACAAGTCTAGCTGAATTATATACATAATCTTTCTTATAGTACCATAGAATATTTCTTACTTATAGTTGTTTTTCTTTTGAGTTGTTACATATAGTAGTTGAAAACCACATGTACAGCCAGTTGGAATTTTGCTAGTAGGCCTTTCATGCACACATGTGAGTGGAGTGGGTGAGACTAAAGTTTAGTCTCACCATGAAAGTTGAATGAGAGTTGCACCTTTTTATAAAGTGAGCTCTTCTACCACTTGTATGAGTATGAGAAGAGGAGACCTACACGCGCGCTCCTCCTCCTCGCTCGCCGGCTCGGCTCGGCACGGGTTGCGGGATTGAGCCGAGCCGAGGACATAGCTATGTACATTGTCTACATTTTTGCTGCACGGGAAAATTAATGAGTCATTAACGGACGCATTAATTATTGAACCGTTGCACTATATAGTCAGGCGGTCGTCTACCCTAGCCGCCGCCACTTCGTATGGTTTCGCACCACCGTTCCAGATCACTGCGCCGCCACGCAAGTCTTCTTCATCCCTCCTTTCGGTGTGCACCACGAGAAGGGACAGCAGGCCTCCGGAACCCCGCCTCTCGTGATCATGTACGGAAGAGGGGCGATCAGGTTTTTGGGGAGCGCACTCGCGCGACTGCTGGTAGCGACGATTTCGCCAACGACGAATTCTTCCCCGACCTCGGCAACCTCGTCCTCAACGACATGGGCGACAACATCAACGCCAGCGGTGCTACTCCCGCTACATCATATGTGATTCTATCCTTCTTGTTCGAGATCGTGGTATAATTCATGTTTCTAGTATGTGCCCTAGATGTGATCTGTTCATCTATTATGCTAGTTCGCATGATTAGTTTAATCTCTGCTAGTGCTATCATAATTTATCTTCTGTTTATTCGGATTAAAACTTGTAGTAATTTGCTCATATTTCCAACAATCCAAAAACCTGATTATAGGCAATTTACTTCGAGTGGTTTTGCTGCACATTTGAAGCCGCCTGCCTTTAAGGGGGTGCAATATAAGAGGTGGCGCACGAGAGCAGTCTACTGGTTTCAGACCATGTGTTGCTATGACGCCACTAAGGGCAAGCCTGAGGGTGATCTTAATCCAGCACAACTGGAAGTGTTTGAGAAGATCGATACCCTCTTTAAAGGCGCCCTTCTGAGTGTTCTTGAGGATTCCATTGTGGATTCATATATGTCGTTTGACAACGGCAAGGACATGTGGGTTGCGCTCGAGGCCAAGTTTGGGGCCTCGGACGCCGGCAGCGAGTTGTACGTCATGGAGCAATTCTATGACTACAAGATGACTGATGAGCGCTTTGTTGTCCAACAAGCTCATGAGATACAGTCACTCGCAAAGGAATTTGAGTACTTCAAGTGTGTGTTGCCAGACAAATTTGTTGCCGAAGGCATCATCGCCAAGCTTCCATCTTCGTGGAACAAATTTGCTACTTCCTTGAAACACAAGAGGCAGGAGTTTTCCGTTGCGGATCTCATTGGTACTCTTGATGTTGAAGAGAAGGTGAGAGCAAAAGAAACACGTGCTCAAGTTGCTGAGGGAGCTTCTAGTGCCCACATGGGACAAAAGAAGAACTTCTAGCCCAACAAGTTCAAAAATAACAAGAACAAAACTCAGGGCAAAGGCAAGTTTGATACAAAGAACAAGCCATCACATTCTACCAATTTTAAGAAAAATTCTCAGAGGAAGGGGAAGGGACTTTGCCATGTTTGCGGTGACCCTAATCACCAAGCTCCGAGGTGTCCTAACCGCTTTGGGGAGCGCGAACATGAGAAGAGCGGCAAGTCCACTAATGTTGTCATCGGTGATACTGATAAGAAGGAATATGGGTACGATATTCTTCCTACCATCAATTCAGTATTTCAATCTCCTGATTGGTTAATTGACACCGGTGCCAATGTACATGTTTGTGCTGACGCCTCTATGTTTTCGTCTTACCAGGTCACAGGGACTTCTCCCGTGCTGATGGGGAATGGGTCACATGCTATCATTCAAGGTGTCGGTACGGTCAATCTGAAGTTTACTTCGGGGAAGACTGTGCGTCTAAAGAACGTTCATCATGTGACGTCCATCAATAAAAATCTCGTTAGTTGTTCCCGTTTATGTCAAGATGGTTTTAAGTTGGTTTTCGAGTCCAATAAAGTTGTAATTTCCAAGTATGGACAATTTGTTGGAAAAGGCTATGAGAGCGGAGGCTTGTTCCGCCTGTCTTTGTCAGATATTTGCACTGAAGTTATTGTTAATGTTTGCCACAATAATGAGTCTGATATTTGGCATTCACGACTTTGTCATATTAACGTTGGTTGCATGACGCGGCTAGCCAATTTGAATTTAATTCCGAAAATCTCTGCTGTCAAAGGCTCCAAGTGCCAAGTATGTGTGCAAGCTAAGCAACCTCGCAAGTCCCATAAGACTGCAAAGGCAAGAGACTTGGCGCCACTAGAGCTTATATATTCTGATCTTTGTGAGATGAATGGCGTGTTGACAAAAGGTGGAAAGAGATACTTCATGACGTTGATTGATGACTCCACTAGATATTGCTATGTGTATCTTCTGAAATCAAAATATGAGGCTTTAACTTTCTTCAAAAACTATAAAGTTGAAGCAGAGAACCAACTTGATCGAAAAATTAAACGGCTTAGGTCTGATCGTGGTGGAGAGTACTTTTCCAATGAATTTGATTTGTTTTGTGCGGAACATGGTATAATCCATGAGAGGACGCCTCCCTACTCACCTCAGTTAAATGGGGTAGCCGAAAGAAAGAACCGGACTCTAATTGATATGGTTAACACCATGTTAGACACATCGGGTCTCTCCAACGAATGATGGGGGAGGCGCTAATGACTGTGTGTCATGTTCTACCGATTTCCCATAAAGCATAAGACCATGACTCGGAAAATGGAAAAACTCTCTTACCTACGTACTTGGGGTTGTTTGGTGAAAGTCAATATACCAATCCCCAAGAAGCGCAAGCTTGGACCAAAAACCGTGGATTGTGTTCTTCTGGGCTATGCTTTTCATAGCATTGACTATAGATTTTATCATAATAAAATCTGAGGTATCCGACATGCATGTTGGTACGATTATGGAGTTGAATGATGCAACTTTCTTTGAGGACATATTTCCTATGAAGGATATGTCGAGTTCATCAAATCAGGAGATACATACTCCATCTAGTGAGTAATTCGCTATAGATCCTGAACCCACCATTGCGATGGAACACATTCAGAATCCTGTTGAGGGTGACAATGAAACTCCTGTAAGGAGTAAGAGACAGAGGACTGCAAAGTCCTTTGGTGATGATTTCATTGTGTACCTTGTGGATGACACACCCATGACTATTTCAGAAGCCTATGCATCTCCGGATGGTGACTACTGGAAGGAAGTTGTTCGTAGCGAGATGGATTCCATCTTATCTAACGGAACCTAGGAGATCACTGACCGTCCTTATGGGTGTAAACCTGTAGGATGTAAGTGGGTGTTCAAGAAGAAGCTTAAACCTGATGGTACGATTGAAAAGTACAAGGCACGACTTCTGGCTAAGGGTTATACCCAGAAAGAAGGTGAAGACTTCTTTGATACTTACTAACCCGTGGCTAGATTGACCACTATTCGGGTGCTACTATCACTGGCTGCCTCATATGGTCTTCTTGTTCATCAAATGGACGTTAAGACGGCTTTCCTCAATGGAGAGTTGAAGGAGGAAATTTATATGGATCAGCCAGATGGTTTTATAGTACCTGGTCAGGAAGGAAAGGTGTGCAAGTTATTAAAGTCT